ATATATATATATATATATATATATATATACTGTATATATATATATTAGTGCTGTCAATCGATTAAAAAAAAATTATTCGCAGTTAATCCCACCTAACATTAAAATGTTTAAATATACTTTTATATTGCAATAATTTCACATTCAATCTTCAAATGAATGTAGAAACAACATAAAGTCAGTATATTTTTAATATTTGTTTAATGGCATCTTTTGATGTCTCTACTGAAGTTGTTTTTTTCCCCTAATATTTAACAATTAACTATAGCCATTCAACATTACAGTATAATTGAGAGCTATCAATTCTGGAGTGACTAGAAGTATAATAAATTAACATTTATTATACTTTAAAAATAACTTATAATTTAAGTGAACTTAACAAAAACAACTTTACACATGTAAGATTAAGTCCATGAAGAAAGTGATTGCATTATTGTTTTATTAGTGTTTTTTGCACAAGTTGAGTGAAGATTACTGCTGCAGAAATTTACGGTATGATTGTCATCAACACGAATTTCAGAAGAAAATAAATAAAAAAAGATTAAGTAAAATTCTTAAGATTATATAAAAATGTAATCAACTGACAGCCTTAATTTTTTTTCAATTAGAAATATGAATGTGCCATTTCTTTGTAAGATTCTTTAAATTAGATGCCTTTGCCCACCTTTGGTTCTTATGGAAATTCTTATTGGTTCTTATTTTTCTTCCAGAATTCCCATCAGTCGGAGCCAGTCCTCTGCGATAGCTTCGGGATTGTGTACAGAGGACGACTGTGGTCTCCTCAAACATGGGCCTGTCCTCACGAGAGCTCATCCTAAGATTTACTACTCTCAGGACCAGAGACCATATGACCTGTCACCCTACCACCAACCTGCCTGTAAGTGTCATGTCCTGAATCGCTCTCTTGTGGCATGTAATCTTCCATTACACTCACTCTGATCTGTTTTCCGCAGTTCCTCCTCACAAGTCATGCAACGCTCGTTTCCATCGTTCCAGCAACGTGCCCGAATCCATGTTACCCCCTTCAGTGGGCCCTCTATACCCAGATCAGCACCCCTCTATTCCTCCTGCAGACAGATTAGGCCCCGCCCCGTATGGGCCACCCTCGACCTACACCTCTATGTCCCACGCACATGGCATGTACACCCCAGTCTACGACAGCAGGCGCATGTGGAGGCCGCCGCTGTATCCCAGGGATGGCGGGAGGAGTAACTCTCTCCCTCCGGAGGTTTTTCATTCCACCGTCTACCAGCCGCCCCTCCGGGAGCGCTTCAACTCGCTGGACAGCCCCTACTGCAGCACAGCGGAGCAGAGAGTGGCAATGCACAGGGCAGGTTTTATTATCTCATGTCTTACAGGCTCATTCATGTTTGAAGAAAGAGTGTCAGTTGAAAATTCTCTTCCATAGTAATTTGTGCTGTAGCCAGTGGCAACTGTCAACAGCATTTTTTTTTTACAGTCCTTTGGTTTCTGTTGTGCTAGGAAGGCCATTGGTCCAAAATCTCTTCATATAGCTTAAATATCAGTATACAACAATTAGGGATGCATGATAAATCTGTCTATTTTAGAGATTTTTTTATTTCAATATTTTGTTGATAGTGGATGTAATTTATTTTACTATTATCTATGTACTGTAACAGTATTTATTAATGTTTTGAATTAGCTTTTATTTTTATTTTCTTAAAGGGATAGTTTACCCAAAAATGAAAATTCTGTCATTAATTATCACCCTCATGTCGTTCCAAACCCGTAAGACCTTCATTCATCTTTGGAACACAAATTAAGATATATTTAATGAAATCCGAGAGCTTTCTGACCCTGCATAGACAGCAATGCAACTGAAACGTTCCCAGGCTCAGAAAAGTAGCAAGGACAATGTAGCAGTTCATGTGACATCAGTGGTTCAACCGTGATATTATGAAGCTACGAGAATACTTTTTGTGCACAAAGAAAACAAAAATAATGACTTTATTTAACCATTTCTTCTCTTCCGTGTCAGACTTCTACGCGCATTCACGACAGTAACACGATGTATGCATGTGTGCATTCCTCTGCTTGTAAACAAGCCACAGCGCATCCGGGTTCTCCGACAGAATGCCGGCTCCTGCGTCAGCAGAAGCACACGCATCCGTCGTGGTACTGTCGTGAACGTGGAGAAGTCTGACACGGTTCTGTTGCTTTGTGCAGAATTCCCTGTGTAAATTGATATGGAAACTTGGGCCTGGTTACATGTAAATTTATGTCTTTTTATTTATTTAAATTTATTAGGCTTAAAGGTGAAGTGTGTCATTTCTCTGCCACTAGTGGCTTCAAATGGAATTGCAGTTTGCGTGTTTGTCTAGCCACACAACATTGTCTCAATCAAAGGCATGAGTTTGCTTGTGTCTATCTGTGTATCCGAGGAATGAAAGACAGGGGAATATTTGAAACTTGTTTTTAAAAAGTCATTATTTTCACACTGCTGGTTGCTCAGAAATCACATTCTTCACTTTTAAAAGTAAAATAGGTGACTAAGCTGTTTCATCATGAGAATGGAGAAGATAAAAAACATTTTCCGTCTTTTGTATAGGACGCGTACAACCGTGTTCCTCTTGGCTATGAGGAACTCTATCGCCACAAACAGGAACAGTGGGTACATCACCACAGCAACATGAACAGGCCCTCCCAGTCCTCCCCAGTCTTCACTGTGGATGTGTGTCCAGAGGTACGGCCCACCGATATGGTGTTTTTAGAAGTGTGTGTCATGGGAAAACTACACCACATGTCTGCACCGTGCTAAAGTGGCGTTAAATCAGATTTGTTATTTCTTCAATTAATAACTTTGGCACCGAAGCTGCAGTCACCCTTCTGAGGTGTGTTAAGCTATTTTTTCTGTTGCTCAGCAACTGATAAATCCAAAGCAAGAAGCAGTTCTGTCCTGAAAATTGTGTGTGCGCACAAGCGCTTTGAAACGCATGAACTCTCAGAGAAAGATTTGGCACCACGGAGGCTGAGTCACTTTATATTGTTTCTTTCCACCCCCATTTATTTGAATCTGGCAGCCTGTTGCACACGGGTGGGTGTGAGATCGAATGTTGTCATCTCACTCTTTCTCCTCCTTTAGCATCCTGAGGGTGTAGGTGGTGGGCGTATGACTTGTAAGTGTCATGGTGGAGAAGAGAGCCTTGCCCACTATTCGCCCTGGTCGTGCAGCACCATCAGCCCATTTGAGTCAGAGCCCCACCATTTGTCAACCCACTCCTGTTCCAAACAGCTAGTAAGTGGTCGCATCACAATTGCACTCATTTACTTTTATAATGGCTTACTCAATAACACATTTCTATTGAATCCTTCAAAGGGCATCAAAATGAATATGAAACAGGTGCAAGGGGATTCACTTCAGATCACCTTTACACTTATACACTAATACACATTGATATAAATATTATTCTTTAACAGACTAATTGATTCTCTCAAACTGTGGAGTCACTTCAGATCAGATTTACATTGAAATACTTTTAAATGTGCTTATTCTTAAAGCTGCAGTCTGTAAGTTTTGCCTCTTTGTCGCCATCTCTGTTTGAAAACATGCAATTGCAGCTGTGTGCGGAATTATCTTCCTTGCGTGGGTTGTGAGGCGGCATGGCTCCAGCGCGGATTAATCTAATGTTTTGAGGAGTATGTGTGGCAGTCAGTCACCGCACCGGTGTGGATATTTTAAGGCGATAGTTTTGAACACTGTCTGGTTATGTACTTGCTCAAATATTGATTTCGGATAATTTTTAACCAAAAAAAGTTATGGACTGCAGATTTAAATAGATTCCTATTGATTCCCTCAGACTGAATCAACAGGGAATGTATAGAGGGTGTAATTTTAGTCACTTCAGATCAAATTCACACTGAAATACTTTTAAATGTAGTTTTTTATTACCACATTACTATTGATTCCCTCAAACTGAATCAACAACGAATGTGTAGATGGTACAATTGGAGTCACTTCAGACCAGATTCACACTGATTAAAGTTCTCAATGCATGTTCGGGAAGAGCCTAATCATCCAGTCCTGTCAATCATCGCTACGACCGTATATAAGCAGCAGTCATTGCTCCGTTCCAGCGACAATTCTTTCGGCATCCCTCCACCTCCCCTTCTTCTCTTTTTCCTCCACACTGTACCATCATAAGGGGAGGGGGTTCTTACTCGGGGCTTGAGCTGAGCCTCGGGTTCGAGCCTCCTTCGCGGACAGCAAGCCATCTCATTTACCATTATCTGATTATCTGGCAGGGCTGAATGGGCAAGCGAACTCATGAAAATACTATAAAAATGCTGATTCTTTAATAGATTCCCACTGATTCCCTCAAATTGAATCAACAATGAATGTATAGATGGTACAAGTGGAGTCACTTCAGATCAAATTTACAGTGAAATACTTTTAAATGTGCTTATTTTTAACAGATTGCTATTGATTCTGAATTAACTGAACTGAATTAAAAATGAACACTTTGAGGGTACAAGTGGAGTCACTTAAGATTCACATTGATTTAGTTTTAAATTTGCTTACCATATAACACATTTCCATCACCATGCTAAAATCTTCAGAGAGTTGTCATGATTGAACTATTCATTATCTCAAACTGCATTAAAAATGATTGTGTAGAGCAGTGGTTCCCAACCCTGGTCCTGGAGGCACCCCAACACTGCACATTTTGCATGTCTCCTTTCTCTGACACACCAATTTCAGGTCTTGGAGTCTCTACTA